TCATTCCTGGCTCATTTTCACTCTTTCCCTATCCACAGGCATTAAGCTTTTGCTTCATGGTGTGGCTCTTGCATATAACACTACTAAAAGATAACATTTTAGTATGTGGTTGTCTGGACCACAAAAATTGGCATGCTGCCCCAAAAGTGGGTGCAATACTTAGGACTATAATTTATTTTGTTATGCAGTTGACAAGCTTTCTTGCTGTTCTTGCACCTTCTTAAGAGTACACATACAACTTTGGCTATAATTGGCTATAATTATTAGTTTGCATCTATTCCACTACAGAGGGAAAGCAGGTACCCCAATTTTTACGTCTTATCAGTCTTCGACAGTGGACGCTGCTTTTTAATCTCTGTGAAAAATGATATTGCTGATTGTAGAAAATATTAGTAAAAACGATTTAAATACATAATTGTGTTTGTGAGAACATTGTTGTCTTAATTTTAGATTTTTTTTAGTTGGGGATGATGAGAGACTTACTCTTTTTAAACAGGGGTATCCAGATAATGAAGTATTTTTGCAAGCTCAGGGGGGCACATCTTCTCATTAGCTATCAGTAAACAAAACATTTTAATATAATCCTGGTTTTTCTGTAAAGATGAGTCTGGGAGTTACATGAGTTGTGCAAGTGGCTCTTATGCAAACCTTTCACCCACTGCACTGTCATCAGTGACAGGCAAAAAGACATAACTATCTTTTTGTCTTATCAAACAACCAAAGGATGGTGTGAACTGAGACCACCAAACAGTTAAATTACCTTTTTTTTTTCTTTTTTCTTTTTTTTTCCCCAAAACAACAGAGAAAGTCCTAATGGCATTGCAGGATTTTGGTAAATATGCTTTCTGCAACCTTCTTTTTCTTTCTGTTCGGAGGTGAAGTTCATCTGCATTAAAGTCAGAGGACCACCTAGGCAATCTTGTCCCCTCTAGCTTTAAAATTTTATATGAATTTACTGCATGGCAGCACAATATGTTGCTGTCATTCCAAATATTGCAATGCTGTTTTGTTCTTAATTGACATCTTGAAAAAGCTTTGCGTCTATCTGGTGTGCAATTTTTGTGGTTTTCTACTAGAAGCCCATGTCACCACAATGCTAATACCCTTTAATATTGAATCACTTTTTTCCCCATTTTAGTTGGACTATCATTTTGCAAATTGTATTTCAAATGTTTCATGTTTGGTTCACTGGTTACTTTGAGAAATCTTGTTTTCTGTTTTTGCCCTACATGCAGTCGTGGAATTTTTGAATTTTTGGAGTAAAAATGAAACATACCTTTAACAGTGGAAGTGAGAATGTACCACCTATTTCATTGTCATTATTCTAAAAATTCATGATTTGTAACCATTCCTGAAATGTAATTTAAACATACAAAAATGTCTTTAATAAATATTGAAGTGTAATAAATATTAGTCTAATATTTCAGTATGAAAAATACTAGCTTGAAATGTAGTGATGTAAGACCATCAGGTTTTGCTTCCTATGATTTTGCAGTCTGGTCTGTAGGGAGCAGACCTTGCCTATCTGCAGAGCCCTCATGATTTCAGTAAGGCTGTGCTTGTATAGCAGGAATCTAGATCATGGATGAAACAGTCAGAGTGGAGCCTTATTGCCACCTGAAAAGATACGCCTATTGAAGTATTCTATTACTTCTATTCTACTATGAAAAGGTGGCTTTGCCTATACAGGAGACTGCAGATTTTCATATTAATTCAGTGTAGAAGTGGATTTGTTCCTAGAGATAGAGTACTCTTATTGTTTTCCCTGTTCTGCTTTTTTTCTTTTTGAATTTGAAATGTTCTGGAATAAAATAGTGCAGTGGAAACTGCAGGTCAGCGTCTCACTGGCACGTGTAGGAACTGCATCCCTTAAACCGTACAACTGACTTCGATATTGTAACTATTTCCTGTATCATCCAGGCAAGCACTTAACTATCTGTGTGACCTTATGCATGTGAGGAGTTTCTGGTTTGGGTGGGAATACTGCCATGCATCTGTGCTGAAGGGCTTGTCTGGCTCAAGACCTACATCTCTGCTGGAAACCTCATAGGGATACAGTGACACTGTCAACCTAACTTATAAAAAATAGAGTCTAAATTTTCCTTTTATCTGAATGTTCCTTAGAGAAGTTTATGCTTGGAAATGTCCTAAAAGATGTAATGAAAGGACGTATGGGCAGTGACAAATGTTTGCACTCAGCTTGTCTAAAATGCAATTTTTGAAATGTTTTGTGTATGAAGTTAAAAGGAGTTTTGTAAAAACTTCTTTGGATATTGATTTTATGGCAACTTTTTGGTAAACAAAATGTTTGGTGCATGCATGTAGGCTAGGAAACATCTTCTGAATGTTCTGGATCCACAGTGCTTTCAAGGGTGTTGTGCTCCATTTTTGTTAGGGGACTGGTGATAGGTACCTCTCGTGTTTCAAAGTAATTAATGCAGTACTTACCGGAAAGCATTTCTGTAGTAAGCTATACTTGTGTGAGCTATAAGCAGTGTACTTGCACTGGTTGACCTTTTCTTGATTTTTGACAAGAAGGCATATGTGATAGCCTTTGAATGCAGAACCTCTCTCTTGGAGAAGCACACGTATCAGATGTCACCAGTATAGTGCTCTCCGAGCTGAGCTAGCAAACTGCCATTGTCAGCATGTTAAAATTGATAATAGAAGGTATGAAAAAGTCTTGCATGACCGAGCAGTGAACTTTGTGCTAACTGTACATTTACCAGTGCAAATCCTTAAAACTGAAATCTCTAATGCTGTACTCAAATGATAAGTTTTGTGGTTATGGTTCGAGGAGCTTGCATAACTAATGAGCATTAGGTATACTGTTTTGGCTTCAAGTATCAAACTTTAGTCGAGTCCTTTTACAAAATGCTGTCAACTCTTTAACAATCTGCAGAAGTGGTAGCTGTCATTTAAATTAGGGCCTCCAAGCTGATTAAAGGGTTGAGGCACTTTTCATACAAGGAGCAGATGAGAGCTGTGACCCTTCATCCTAGAGAAGAAAAGGCTTGAAGGGATGTCACTGATTTGTGGAAATACCTGTGTGAGGGAATGAAGAACGAAGCAAATAGTGCCCACTGACAGGACAAAAGGACATGCATATGGAAACAGAAGATTCCACCTGAACGCACACACTCACACACACACTCACTCACTCTACTTATTTACTGTGAACTCACACTCACACACTCACTCACTCTACTTATTTACTGTGAGAATGGTAACAGTTGCCTTGAGACTATAGAGCCTCCATCCATGGAGATGCTCAAAACCCAACTCAACACAGTCTTGGGCAATCTTCTCTAGCTTACCTTGCGTGAAAACAAGAAGTGTGATGGAACGACCTCAAAAAATCCTGTTGAATGTAAACAATTCTGTGTAAAGCTTCTCTATCTCTTATGTTTACTTTATACCTAGTTATAGAAAGCTGTGTAAAGCTTTATGTATATGAAATATTTTATTTAACAATATGTGTATAATTGTATGTCATTTAATTGTATGCTAATGTGTATATGTGTATATAAATACATAAAATTACCTGCACTTGATTTTTTTAAAAAGATTATGTAGATATTTTTGGCTAAGCTATCAATTGTATATATATTTTTATGCCTGATTCTTGTCTGTTCTTCCTCTGACCCACTGTTCATTTTCTTAAAAATGAATTTAGAGTAAAAGAAATTTTAGAAATTGCCTCTTGAAGTGATACCAGCTGGTGGGGTTCCTTCTGGAGAGAGTTTTCAAAGTATTGCAGTCATCTTCTTTCCCACCTTATTTCTCTCACTCTTGGACAAGTACATATAGAGGGAAAAGCAACTTTGGCAACAAGACCTGGCCTTTGAAAACTAAGTTAAGATAAGCTGCACCCCATGAAACCCAGTTTTCCTCTGAGCTTATCAAACTTGCGTAGATCTCTGGGCTAGGTTTGCTTTGTGCACTTCATTTGCTGGTTTTTGGGTTTTTGGTTTTTTTTTGTAGTTGTTCAGGGTGTTCTTGTTTGTTTGTTCTTCAGTATTAAAAGTAACTCCAGGTTCTAGTATTGTTTGTTAATGTTTTCTTTGATATAAAAATGAATGGAGAGGGAGGAAGCTTATAAATGTAATGTACAGTAGAACTTACCTCTTTCAGTGTTTGTAGAAGGGAGCACAGTTGTAAATACTGAATGTAACTCAGTATCAGCAGTTAGACAAAGGTTGAAGGTTTGAAATTTGATGTTTTGTAAATAAGTATTTTCTCTAAGATTACAATAAGTAAAGTAGTAATCATTAAATGTAGACTTGAAAAATTCAGGCTTGATTCAAGTATTAGGATGTAGAAAAACAGAAATTTTTCCCCTGTGCTCTTCCATAGCAGAAATGTTGGAAATAGCTTTATTTTTTCCTACACCTGGTTATAGCAATGACAGTCTGTATATTGATGTGCTTTGGTATGCAGCTTTGATTAAAAGATAGCAAAGGAGTCAACCACCTGAGAACTTTCTCTGAAGTGGATATTGAATTTTGTGGTTGAATTATATAAAAAGTTTCAACTTTAAATGTGCAGGTAACTCAGAAAATACAATATTTGAGAAATAAATCTGTGGATAGTTACTCCATTCATTTTTTTTAATGCACATTTGTTGCTACGTATCTGTGATTTAATATTAAAGAGTATAATTTAAATTGTTAAATGTTTATAAATTTTAGTATATTGAGACAAGGGAGAAATTTACTGTACATGGTTCTGTTTAACTTTGTGGCCTGAGTATTGGATTTAATGTTGTATTACAGTATGAAATCTTCTTAAGGTCTTTGTTTGAATTATTCAATAAAAAAAGTTTGATTAACACACTCCTTATCTCCTGTGTCTAACAGTGGAAAATAATTTTATTATTGATAATTTCCAGATTAAAAAAAAAAAACTAAATACATAGAAGACTGAAAAAATAGCAAAAACTGTTGTATGCTTGTGATTTTCTGTTTAAACAATTGTTGTTTTCTAATTCTATTTTTCAGTTTCCATAGCTAGACGCGTACAAGACCCACTAGCTGAGCTAGTGAAAATTGAGCCCAAACACATAGGAGTTGGAATGTATCAGGTAAGATAATACATATCATTTAAGTAATCCATCAGGATAGAAGGCAAAACCAAAATGCTTTTTTATAATCAAGTGCCAACTAGTTACGTCTCCTTTAAGGGATATTTGTAGGATTCGTGAAGTGGTAATAAAATGCTTTTGAAAAAGTCAAATACCTCTTCTCTAATCTCGTTTTAACGATTGTGATTGAGACTCAGAAACTGCTGTAGCCAGATTTATAGTCTATTAAAAACATCAAATCAGACAGGTAATTTGATATGTAAAAACCTTTTTTCCCCCTATTGTTATAGCAAAGGGGTTTTAGCTCTTTGTGTAAAATACAATAGGATATTGATCCTTCATTTAGAAGCCATTAATTTGTGCTATTTGATACATTTCTCTGAAGTTTATAATAAAAACTTTTGTTTTGAAGTTTTGCATTTACTAAAGTTGATCTGGAAAACATTTGGCAACTCATTTGTTTTCCTACGTCTTTGTAGGTTATTTCTTAGAAGTATCATCTACCTTCAGAGTATATTTGCAAAGGGAATGTCATTCAGAAGTGGTACATAGGACATTGTCATTTTCTAGTATGTTAGCATCGATGCAGGGAAACGTTCACATACTTTATTCCAAGCAAATAGAGAAGTTTAAAAAAAAATAAAATAGAAACTTTAGCATGTGTTTATCTCTATTTTTGAGAGTATAGAATGTACGTAAATTTGAAAGACTGAAATGGAAGTCAAAAAGGAAAGTACTCTAACTCTTTTTGGATTGGTGTGTGAGTGTTAACAGGGTGGGCTACAGTTAGGAGACTAGAATCATTTATTGTCACTGCTAAAATTCAGGTGACAGGTTTTGAAGAGATGTATCATGGATTATTCTATTATTTGGGTTTTTTTAGAGGGAACTGAGGTCAACATTTTGGTTGGTAAAATTAGTACTCAGTGCTGTTTTTGCAAGCTGTACCTATGTTGCCAGAGACTATGTTTTATGTACCCGTGTTCCTTGCTAACTGTGGAACTTAGCAGTAAAATTAGCTTATGTCATAATCTTTCACTATGAAATATACCATAACTTATGAGGAAGATTAGATATAAAGTTTGTAATACTGAAATGTTCTTTAATTTAGATATCCAGATTTCAGAAAAAGTAGGTTTTAATGGTGGCAGCCAAAATTGGGGTGGTCTTCTGGCAAAAAGAGAAGATTCAGTCTGAAGCATACTTGTTTTGTTTTTAACTTGTGGAGATAGGTTGCTTTAATTTTTAAAGTAGCAGTATTAACAAGCCATACAGATTGTCCTTGGTTTTGGTTTTAAGGTAGAAGAAAGTATGGTGTACTTCTTGAAAAACAACAACAACAACAGCAACTTGAAATGTGATGTCCTAATATAAGCCTTTTGAGTGGAAATTGATTATTTATTAACAATTTTTTTTTACATCAATTAAAAAATTAAATACTGTTCTCTTTGAATTATATACTGTAGATTCCTCAGTGCTCCTAATTTTCATTACTTGGCTAGAAGGCATTGATTTAGATGTACGCTATCTTCTGTGACCCATGTGCAACTTGTACAAGCATACACTGGAAAAAAAAAGGCATAGAGTTGATGGTAATTATATGTTTTGGGGAGCATTATTGCAATAACCATATTGTAGTGGCTCTTCACTGCTGAAGCCTGTGTGATTTACTTGAGACTGATTTGAGACTGTAATGGTACTGATAAGTACCATTTTTCTGCCTCTTTCTGGAAGATTCTTGATCCACCGGTGATGTTTTAGAAATTAAAATCCAACTAGGTTATTTTTTCATGTCTATATGAAAAGTTTTGAAGAAATATAAAAGCCTAGTAAAGGTAAAATCCCTAAAGTTGTTCTTCCCCACCTGACTGCACTTTTAAGTCCTGTCGTGGTTTTGATGAGTCCCCTGAGAAGGGCATAACCTCATCAAGATATTTAAGTGTCACCCCAGAAGTCATAACATATTTGCTCAAAGACAGAAAACAAACAAGCAAAAAGGTGTGAGGATAAGAGGAACTGAACTATTATGACTTGCTCTCCTTCAAGAGAACAATTGTTTACATCTCAGAAGCCAGGCATGAAAAAGGTGATTTTATCCTATGGACAATCCCAGATTGAAAGCTGATAGACTCCTCCAGAGTACATTAGGTACAGAATTTGGTATTATACAGAGATCTCACTGTACTTTAATTTATAATCTAATAGCTACCTACAATTTTTTATTAATTTCTTTGATGAAATTTGAGAAGTGCAGTTTAGATCAAAAATGTAACTGTCTTTTCACAGAGAAAGTTGCTTTATCAGCCCACTGTAACTGTAAAACTAGCATTTGCATATCTTCTTTTCTTAAAGATTGTGAAGTTGATATATCGAAATTGGACAAATTTAGATTTGGACCTTCTTCTCCTGAAGGACAGACAGTGCTTAGTCCTGTGCTCAGTCAGCTTGTTACTCCTCAGACAGAGGCAACTGAGGTTGACTGCTGTGAGAGCCTTGTAGCACAATAAGAAATGTGATTTCATGAGAGATGGTTGCACACTTACTATACTTGAACCAAAACGTTGGCTCCCTGAAGTAGTGGTCTTGTGATTTATTTTTTTTTAGTACTTCCAGCAAATGGATATGACCTTTCTATCAGCTTAATACAGAGGCTTCAAACTACTCTACTGTTTGAAAGGTAGTAGCCGAGAGACATGAATTTTGCCATCTTTTCTGGGAGTTTGTTCTCTGAAGTTAAAATAAGAAGAAAAAAAAAACCTAGCTGACATAGGCTGTAGCTTTTCTAGTGAGATATTCACAAACAGTGGCACAGGATAGTTGCATATGGTCAGCTGAGTCACCCTCTTGTGTAAGTACTGTATGAAGGAGCCAAGCCTTTTGTAGTCACTGCTTCCAGGCCATTTTGGATCTCTCCCACCTCCTGTCCTCTTGGTACTGTTAGTGGCTCTTCGTGTACATGTATGTTCACAGATGTTTTCTTCTCTTGCTAACAGAAGCTTTCCAAGCAAATTTTTCTGTTTGGATACGAATACTTTAATCTGAGTTTCCAGGTAGCAGTAGATCTCTGGAAATTGAGCCTGGTTAGCTGTGATTTGTGTTTTTTTCCTTTAGTTGTCCAAAAAGAATTGAATACATGACCAGCTGATTTTATTCTCTTTTCAAGTTATGAATCTGAGTTTGAAACTGCTACAAAACCTTGGTTTGTCAGAAAAAAATAAACAGACCCCTGATCTCTTAACAGGTACTTTTTTAAACAAAGAGAAAGAATCACCTGATTTATTATGGTTTCTCCCAGCCCAAAATTCCAGTTGCCTAGAGGTCCTTGTCTTCTTTCATCTTTATCTCATTAGGAAAATCGCTCTTTCCTCTCAGACAGGAACCTAGCCAAAATTAATTTATCACCTTCGGGCCATATTAATATGATTTCTTCTGTAGTCAAGCACAAGGATGATGCCCAGGTCCTGCCTGATGCAGTATATGTTTGCCTTGTCGCCTCCGAATCTCAGTTCAAAACTTAATTCCTATGAGTGAAGCAGTTAGTGACTCAAGTACTATATTGTACTGCAAGCTGGATTTTGGCTGATGAATCACCACAGCAATTGTTATTTGCTTGGATGGTGTAGATAACAGAGAACAAAGCTCTTCACAAAGGCTGTGGTTAGGGAATTCAATTCTAGAGGAAAGAAACGGATTAAAAAGTAGAAGAATCCTAGAGGGAAACGAAACAATAACAAACTACAGCACCAAAATCCTTCCTCAAATAGAAAACTAACTTAAATTTTGATAGGAGAATAAACCAGCACTGGGATAAGCACTGTATTCACTGTTCTCTATTAGAAACAAAATATCCCCAGGTAAAAGGGGAATTAAATTAGTAAAGCTTTTAAAAGTCGAAATAAGAATGTGTATTATAATACAGAGAAGGGAAAAAGAATGCTGAGAGATGAGGTTAAGTTTGGCTTGTCCTTTGGTTTTGATTTGATGTGCAAAATTCTTGGATGCTAGAAAAACAGTAACCTCAACAGGGAAAACAGTCGTGGCAGTGGAGCTCATCTAGGAATACAATATATGGTATGTGTTGAAGGATAAAAGTGTTTGACAAGCTATAATTATTAACAAATGTGTTATATCTCTGATTTTGAATTGCAAAGTCATATTTGGTCTTTATAGTGCAAAACCCTCATCATGATATATTTGTGACTGTGGTAGCATAATTATTATTTAACACATTTGGAGAATTAACATTCCAAAAGAATGTAAGATATAATATATGCAGCTTTGTAACCTCCAAAGTCCATTGAGTCCAGATGTAGCTGGAACAATTTTGTCAAAGAAATAGAATTTATGACTGATAAATCTTAAGCAGTGGCTCTCAGGAAGAAAAGAAAAAAAAAAGTTCTAAAGCCAATTCTTGCTTTAGTCTCTTTACATTTCTGAAGAGAATTTCATAAAGCCTAATTTGAATAAATAATAATACGAGTTAAAACTTTGGAAATGCCTTATGCCTTTTCTGTCCCTCTCATCTTTTTCCTTCTTGGAAATTTTGCTTGTTATTGAAGTGTATCAGTTTTTGTATTTGATTACCTGTGTGACATTTTGTTATTTCAGGTGAAATTTGATAGTCATTTAATTGTGGTGTTTTGTTTTTGTTTTTGTTTTTTTTACACCAGAGGATGGACACATTGCATTAAATGGCAATGTGATTTAAGGAATACTTTTAATCTGATATGCATTTTATTTAATGGGTTTGGTTGCATCTTAGTTATGGAGTGGTAGGTGTAAACATATCCCATTAGTTAACAGGGAGGCATCCAACTGAAGTAATATCTCAGATTCTGTTGGAAGAAGAGATTTTTTCCTTTCTCGTATGAGACTGTGTAGAACACTTTCTCTCCCATTGTTCTCTTGTTGCAGTGGGACCCTTAGTAATTTAGCATGCAGCTTTTTTGCAGATTGTCTCTGTGTCTGTCTTTGCCAGCTCCCACTTGATGCAAAACTGG